AGGCGGCAGTCGCAGCGCCAGGGGTTGGCGGCCAGGTGCGCGGCGCGCAGCGCGGGCAGCGCATCCAGCAGCCCCGGCGGGAGCGCCGTGAGATTGTTCCCGGTCAGCACCAGCTCGGTGGTGCCCGGCGGGAAGGCGGCTGGCAGAGAGGCCCACGTCAGCCCGCGACGCCCGCAGTCCACGCGCGTCCCCGCGCAGCTGCACGGCGCGGGGCAGCCCGCTGCGGCCCGGCCCCGCAGCGCTTGCAGCAGAAGCAGCAGGTGCAACGCCCCGCGCAGCCCTGCAGAAGAAGTGCCGCGGTGAGACGGCAGGCCGAGAGGCCCGCGGGGCCCCGGAGCGCCGGCCCGGTCTCCAGCCGCTCTGGGTCCGACGGCCTCTCCACCCCACACCCGGGCTGGAAGTCTTCTCTAAACCCGACCCGTCTCCCCTAAGGCAGCCCAACGGTAGGAGCTCGTCCGACCTGGGCCAGCCCAGACTCACCGGAGCCCATGGCGAGAGAAACGTGGGTCAGCAGGCTCTGGAACTCGAAGCGTTAGCGGGAGAGCCGCCCCGTCCTGCCAGGCGGGGGAGAGCGCGCCCCTAGGACCACAAATTGGCCGCCTCGCCAGAAATAGCTCAGAGGCGGTGCGCTGGCCACAGATAGAGCCCTATCGCTGGGGCGCAGTAGGACATGCGGGCTTCCGCCTCCACCCGCTCCCAGAAGCGCACGGAGCACTCGGATACCGTAGCGACATTCACCAACATTGTTTCCCTGTCACCAGGACAGGACATGGCATTCACAACCGAACTAAACGGAGCATGTTGTGTGTGTGTGTGTGTGTGGGGGGGGGAGGACGGGGTCATGCAGGAGGAAGACTTGGGAGGCCAAGGGCTCAGGATCCCGGAGTGACAGTGGGGACCCCTCAGTGCCACTGGGGAGGAGGGACCTCAAGTGGCGGCCAGCATGGCTGTCTAGGTTTAGGGCGCTTGCCCAGGGCTCCCCATCGCCTAGGCTTCTACAACCCTCTGGCCAGTTGTAGCATGGGAGAGGGGGCGGGAGGAGGGCAGTTCCGGGAGCCGGCCCAGTGCGCTGCTCCTCTTCCTCCTCTTCCGCAGTCGTCGGGAAGGGTTCCCATCACCCCAGTTGCCCAACCCTTCCAGCTGGGCTTCTGGGCGCAGGGGTGAGGAGGTAAGGGGAGGGCAGCCCACTATGGCACAAAATAGGGTCTCAGCATGAGCTGGGTGGACAGCAGGAGCAGGCACACAGGACACCCAAGTCCCCTCTGCAGCTCTGGGGGTGGAGTGAGGAATAGGCCCAGGACCCAAGAGAGGATCTGGCCCTCTCTCCTGCGTTGGTTTACCCGCCTGAGCAGCCCCTGGAGTGTGAGTGCTGGGATCTGCGGTGGGGGTGGTGACCTCAGAAGTCCAAAGGGGGACTCTCAAAAGCAGATGATGGGGCAGGGAGAATGGGTACTGAGAATAAATTAGGGTGGGCCGAGGGCTGTGGTGGAGTCCCTGGGTCCTGGCAGTAGGAGCAGTCTGGTATTGGGCCACTGTGAGATTGGGGTTCAGGTCCAGGCCAGTCTGATCCAGCGAGTCCAGGGTCAAATCTAGGAGTGAGGGCTGGCCCAGGGCTGTCCGTCCCTGGCAACACGGGCTGTGATGGGGTCACTGGTCCTGCATTTGCTGCTTCATCTTCTGCAACATCTCCTGCATACGCCTCAGCTGGGGGAGGGGCAAGAGGATGGGCTGGGAGATGCGGAAGGACCTGCCCAGCCCCTATCCCCCTCACCACACAGCCCCCACCTCTTTCCCACCCAGTCCCAACCTCTGCCCTACCCGCCCACCTACCTCCTCATCCTTCATCCGGATAAGCTTCTCGGTCTCAGCGTCGGGGGTGGGCAGCGGCAGGATGGGAATGGGGCTCTCCATGCGGCTATCCTGGGTCAGTTTGCTGGGAGGTGGGAAGGGATAAGGTTGCTGAGAGCGAGCTTGGTGCGTGGGCTGGAGGTGGCCCGGCTGACCTGCACCACAGCAAAGGCCTCACTCTCTTTAGCCCCTACACCCTGAGGGACAAGACAATGGGGGACCAATTTGCAGGCTGGGACGTGATCCAGATCTCTGAGAAGCAGCCCTGGGTTTTGAACTTTGGAGAGAGCAGGAGGGGCGTGGTCCAGTTCTGGGGGTGGGGCTCGTTTGGGGCAGGGCCAGCTCACCTGGTCATCTGCTGAATACAGTGCGCACGGTAGTTCTCGTAGTGAACGTCGCAAGTCACGTCCTTTAGGTCGTGCATGTGCGTGCGGATAAGCATGTTGCGCAGCTTCACGAAGTCGCAGTGCGCCTGGTTCTCCACTGCGGGGCAGGAGCGGGTGGTGGGTGGGGGACCCGGCAGGAGGCCACGCCCACCCTGAACCAAGTGTCCCAGGCCTGAACTCACCCTCCACGATCCCCCAGGGGTACAGTCGCCCACGGACCCGCTGCCCCTTGGCCTCCACCACCGTGTTGCTGCCTATAACCGCGAAGGGTGCGCTTTCCTGGGAGAGGGGGCAAGGCTTGCTCAGACAGTATGAGCGCAGGGTTAGTGGCTGGACAAGGACACAGACACTCAACACTCCAGTAGCATCCTTCAGTATCGCCAACACCAGCCACACTACAGAGATCTAGCCTCACCCTGCTTGCGACCCCTCTGGAACCAGAACCGGTATGGCAGCCACCCCTCTGGCTTTAACCACGCTGTGCTTCTTCAGGCATGCCAGCCCCTCTCACTCCCAACCCACCAACAGCCACGCCCCTCCGTGGATCCATGCCTCCTCAACACCCCCTCTGGCTGGCACTGAGGGGCCTGCCCAACTCCTGGCCTGGTGGCCACCTGCCCTCCGGCCTAGGCTTGGTCATAACCACCCCAGCTGCACTGGGCTCGCAAAGCTGCCACCCTCTGGGGCTCAGAATTCGGGAAGCCACTGGGCTGGGCCCTTCTACTCACAACCCATAGGAAGAGGGTGCCTGTTAAACAGAGGGTTGGGTGGGGGAATCCTGGTCAGTGGCGGCTGAGCATTTGGCTACAGCCTCTGGGCAAGCACTCCATGACCCACTAAGCACCTCTGTGGGGCCCAAACTGTCACCACAGGTCAGATGGGGACAAAGGCAACCTTCACCCTGCCAGGCTGGAGCTCAGTGCTTGCCCTCCTCCAGGTCCTGTGTGGACAGGCTAAAGCCCTGGGGCCACAGGGGCCCCTACCCTTCACCACCTCCCTCCTACCCACCAGGTGGCACTCTCACCTTCAGTTCTCGATCCTGCTGCTTGAAGTCCTCGTCTTCGTCAGAGTCACACTCGGGGAACTGGTACACACGGATCCCAAACTTGTCAATCTCCTCCCGGATCTGCAGCAAGGCAAGGGCAGTCAGATTCTGGGCTGGCCAGGTCCCCATGTCAGTTGCGGTGACGCCCGGGGTCAGAACACCTGGTGCTTGGGGCCCAGACTCCTGGGCCAAGCCCCTCTGCCCCAGCAGGCTTACCCGTTCCTTCAGCTTCCGGATCTCACTGGGAACGAGGCAGTCAGCTTTGGCGATGAGCGGCACAATGTTCACCTTCTCATGCAGCGCCTTCATGAAACCCACATCCACCGGGCGCAGCCTGCGGAGAGCGGAGAGCGGCAGGGGCGGGGGTAGGCACAGCGATGGTGCGGTGAGAGGGGGCAGTGGTGGCTGCAGTGATGGGCAAGGGGGGGTGGCGGCACAGTGAGGGGCTGAGAGAGAAGGGGGCCTATGCCAGGCCCCAGGCAGCCACTCACCCGTGCCCGAAGGGGGAGATGAAGTACAGGCAGCAGTGCACTCGGTTGTCCTGGATGTTTTTGCGGTTCAGGCCACTCTCATCCCGGAAGTACTGCTCAAACTGCTGGTCCACGTAGTCAGTGATGGGCTTCCAGCTGGGGTGGGGTGGAGCGTGAGGCCTAGCTGCGGAGCTGCCTACTAACCTGGCCTGGCAAGGTGACGGAGACCTGCGGCACCCACCCCCAGGCCGGCCTTCCTCACCACTCAGAGTTGTTGACGGCGTCCCCGAAGCCTGGTGTGTCCACAATGGTGAGCTTCAGCTTGACCCCCTTCTCCTCAATGTCCACCGTGTGCTTTAGGATCTCCACTGTCTGGCTGATGCGTTCTGGGGGGGCAGTGGATGGCACCCTCACACCACACCCCAGGCAGCCCAGACCTTGTCTGCATCCAGCCCAGTTGTCTTGGTTCTGACTCCACAGCCTGGCTTAGGACTGGGCCATGGCTCCTGGACCCTGACTAGGGGCAGACCAGTGGGCCAGGAGACCCCCACTGCGGGAGGAAAGGATGGAGGCCGGACCTGGAAGGGTACCCTTTCAGGGGCTTCGGGAGGGACAATCAGTGCCAAGACTTATGTGGGGATCACTCACCCTCCGCACTGAGCAGCTTTCGGTCTTTGTACAAGTCGGTCAGAAAGAGGCTGTGGACCAGCGTGGATTTTCCCAAGCCTGACTCACCTGCCCACAGGTACAGTGAAGGGCTTGGGTTAGGTGCGTGGTCTCCATGACTGGGCCTAGCTGGCCAGTGGCCCCGGCCACCCACCTGGAGCCTGGCCCACTCACCAGCCACCATGAGGGTGAAGTCGAAGCCTTTCTTCACCGACTTGCGGTGCACCTGGTTGGGCAGTGTGGCGAAGCCCACGTATTGCTTGTCGATATCCTGGGGGTGGGGCACATTAGGGGTGATGCAGGGACTACTGGGGCGGCCCACGCCCTGCCCCACCTGCTTCCCCACCTGACTCCAGCTGAGGAAACAGCAGGGGGCACAGTCCCTGGGGTGGGGTCCTTCAGGGGCAAAGAAGGGATGAGGCTCATGGGCACGGGCTCGGAGGGAGGAGGACAGTTGGGGTGTTGGAAGGTGCTCCTGCCCTGCCTCAGTGAGGGGTTTTGTAGGGACTCAAGTGTGTGTGTGTTTGTGTGTGTGTGTGCGGGGGTGTCGTGTGCAGGAGGCACAGGTCCTATCCTTTCCATCTGTTATTGTTGGAGGGCACCAGGTCAGGAACCACTCAGATCCATGCGAAGGCCTCCATGCTGGGAGCAGCCAATACTCACCCCTCCCAGCAATACCAGGGGGTGGGAGGCCCCAGCTGGCCTCGATCCAGCCGCGGGGGAAGCAGCGACATCGCGCAGGGGCTATTTATAGACAGCGGTGCGCTAGGAGCCAGTGCCTCCGCTCACCCCGCCTTTGCCCCGGGGACTGGGGACCCTGGCCCTTCCGGCCCCTGTCTCAGCCAGAGCTCGCCGAGTCCCGGGGTTGCAGGGCCCGGGCCGACGCACACTCATATTGACCCACATCTCCCACCCCCCACACACCTTGAGCCGCCTCTGGGCCTGGGTCCGCGGTGACAGTAGCTGCTCCACCAGGCGGTCCTGGGGCGCAGCCAGCGAGTCCATGGCGGCCACGTCAGTACCCGAGGCTGGGGCAATCCGACGCGGGCCCGGAGTTCGCAAGGAAATAGGCGCGGTGCTGCCCTCACCCTGTTCTCGTCCGCGTTTTACGGACGCGGGGGCCGGCTATGTTAAAGGCCGTCTGAGCCATCCTCTGCCCCCAGGGCGCGGTCCGAGCTGGGCGCGGCGTCCCCAGCCCAGCCAGCCGGCTCCCGCACCCCGAGCCGAGGCGGGGCTTCGCGGTGCTCGCGGAGCGCGCGAGCGGGGCCACAGGCGACCCGCCCCGCGCCGTCGCCAGGAAACAGTCGCTTAGAAATGAGGCCACGGGCGGAGCCACCGGGAGCTTGTGCGGAGGCACGAGCCACAGCTCGGGGGCCGGAAGCGGCGCGGGGTGCCCGGGAGCCCTGCGGCCGGTCCCACGGCCTCGGTCCGAGCGCCGGGACACAGGGTGGGGAGGCTAAGGCTGGGGGTGGGGGTGGGGGAGGCTGGAGCTGCCCCGTGTCCCGCCCCCCAGACATGCGGAGAGGCTTCCGCCCGCCAGAGGGCGCCGGAGGACGCGCCGGGACCCGCGCGCCGCCGAGCCAGGCGGAGGCTCCCGTAGCTGCGCGGGGACCAGCGCCATCCACCACGGTCTCTCTTCGTCAACTCCTCCGGCCAACCTCACGGCCGTGTCACAGCGTCCCCACCTCCCAGGGACACACGCTCTCAGCACTACCCCCTTTCCTCGTGTGTGTGTGTGTGTGTGTGTGTGTGTGTGTGGAGCGAGTGTGTTTGGAAGATTCCCCAAGGGACGAGGAGAAGCGGGGCGAGGGCAAGGGCCCGCAAGTCTCGCCCAGTGTCCCGGAGGCTTACTGAGCGCCCGGCAAGGTGCAGCCCCCTCCGCCACTCCCGTCCTCGGGAAGTTTGGATGCCTCAGCGGCTGCCGGACCTCAGCTCAGCAAACCCGCCGGCCACCCACGCGGCCGCCGCCGCCAACCCCCAGATGGCCCCGCCGCCAGGCAGAGACAGAGACCAGGGTGGGGAGGGGAGAGTGGGCGGTGTCCGCCCCCAACAAGGCCCCTGGCGGGCACCACCTCTGCACGTCCTCGGGTGCACTGACCCACAGGACGGCGTGGGAACGTCACTCCAGAAGGGGACACTACGGCTGGGGCTCATGGGACCTGAAGCCAGCACAGCCCTCGCCCAGTGTGGCCACCTCAGAGGCGGAAGGGGGTCTCTCCTAAACCCAAGTAAACCTCCCTCTGCTGGCGGCCACACCCTATTTTACCCATCCCTTCCCTAATCCCGACAAACCAGCACCAGTGAGGCTGGGAAGGGGACGTTAGTGGCTCACCAGGCTTGCACTCCATGTCCTTTGCCCCCCACCCCGAGGGGCCTCTGTCCCCTCTGCAGGCCACAGGGTCGTGCAGTAGGGCCCAGAGCTGGAACAGGAGAGTCTTTCATCCTGAGGGGGTGGACCGTAGCCCATCCCCCAGTCCCCAGCGCTCAGAAAGCCACCCCTTTGACCCTAGCCTCTGGGAGGACTCTGGGCCAGTCCCCACTGGGAGTCCACCTTAGAGACCACCCCTCAGGCTAGCACCTGCCCAGACGGGCTGGCCTCTCCAGGAAGAAAGCCCTGGGCCTTGGGCCTCAGGCTAGGGGGAGTCTCAGCACCCCGATACCGTGTGTCTAACAGGGAGCCTTTGCTCCCAGACTGCCTCAGTTTGCCCATTGTTAAGTCGCAGCCTCTTGGGGATGATGGGTTTCTGGGCCTTGGCTCACCTCAGGGGACAAGAGACTCTCTCCCAGCTCCCAAATTGCCTGTCCCATCATCTGCTAGAGCCCAGCCAGGGCTGTGGACTCCTCGGGGAGCTTCAAGGAAGGGACCCTGCCACCACCCCCTTTCTCTGGTCCTCAGGCACACCAAACGCTTTTCAGGGCTTCCTGAGCCAATGACACAGCCACACCCACTCCTCAGCTGCCCAGAGCCTCTGGAGGCATGGCCCTTCTTAGAATCACACCAGCCAGCTCTGCAGTCACCAGAAGCCCTCCCACTGCCTGAGGGGGGGGGGCCCAGAGGGCCAACGGAACCCCCTTCTACCTGAGGTGGTGGGGCAAGGGGGGTGCAGAAAACCTGCAGAAGCATCATTCCCCACCAGTGCTCGAGGTGGGGGCGGGGCCACAGACGGCCCACAGAACCCCCCCCAAACACACAGGCTGAGATGGGGGTGAGGAGGGCATAGGGAATCACATCACTGCCTCTGTTCCCCCCCTGGTAGGGTAAGGGTCTTCAGCCCCCTTCACAGGAGGGCTGGACAGGCTGGAACTCAGGACAACAGTGGTCATGACAAAGCCACTGTGTACTTGCCCCCTTCCCTCAGGCCAGCCCAAACACTCAGGGGGTCCCTGGGTCCTGGGGGGCTTGAGGCAAGGCTCCTCCCACGCCTGGGAGGGGAGGCACTCTCCTCTCCTTCTGGTCCTGGGGACCGAGTTGCCGTAAGGAGGGCTCAAAGCAGCAGCAGGTACCGGCCTGCAGGGGCTCATACCTCTCAGGAGCGGGTCCCTGACCCAGAAGCAATAGGCAACGGCAGCTGGGTGCCGCTGAAAAGCACCACCCAAGCCCAGCAGCCTGGAGCTCCCAAAGGGTGGGCTTGCAGCACGTGCAGAGCCAGAAAGGCCATAGCGCCGGCCCCAGCGTCAGCTCATTCACTCTCTCCCTCAAACAATAGTCTAATGGCGCGTGTCCCCCTGTCTCAGGCATTGTGTGACCTGCTGCTGTGGGGAGGCAACTCCTGGTGGCTAACTGGGGAAGCCTTGGCTCGCAGGGAGGCTGATGGGGCCCCTCCCAAAGATCCCCACCTGCCCCAGGATAGGGCGTGTCCCTGCCAGGAGAGCCACACTGGGCAGCTAGGACTCCCGGCTCTCACCCCACCTGCTAGACTGCTCCTGCCTGCCTGCCAAGCCTTGGGCGAGCAGCAAACACTCCTGGGTCCCACTGAGCACCCACTCGTGGGTGAAGCCCCCCCCCCCCGAGGCCACCCTGGTGCTTTCTTTTGTCCCCCGAACCTGGCTGAGCTCAAGCCGGAGAGGTGGCCAGCAGGGTCAGCCCAGAGACCTCAGCCCACCGCTGCCACCCCGCCATGGGATCTCACAGCTTTGTTTCCCTCCAGCTTGGTTGGGTGCTCACAGTGGGGGCCCCGGCCAGTGTCCTGCCCGAGTCCTGCCTTCCCGGCGGGCTGGAACCAGGCCAGTCTCCTTTGGGAGGCCACAGGCTTAGCTGCACTCAGTGGGTTTGAGGCCCTGTGCTGGGCACAGGATGACTCAGACTGGGCCCTGGAGGCCCCGGGTCTGGGGAAGAGGCCCCACCACACTTGGTCAGGTTGAGGGGAGGCATAAAGGTGCAAGGGGGGTGGGGGGTTGGCCAGAGGCGCCTCAGTGGGGTTGCTCAGGGACTATCCGCTAGCTGATGGACTCCAAGCCCCTCTCCCAGCCCATGGCCTACAGGGACCGTGGCCGGGCCAGGACCCTCAGTGCCAGCCTCCAGGCCCGATCAGCACGGTCTCCCTACACCTGGACCAGCCAACAGGGCTGGCGCGCGCTCGCCCTCCACCCTCATCCCCATTCCTCCATCCTCGGGAGGGACGCCCACCCGTGCTGTGAGGTCAGGGGGCCAAGCACCCCCCCACCCCGGCATCGCGCCCCTCCGAAGCCTCAGGCTGACACTCCGGGTCTCACAACAGAGCGGGATGACGGCTGGCGGGGGCGGGGTCGCGCCTGGGCGACGACCGCATCTGTGCCACAATGATGACAGCCAGCAGGGCCTGGCGACAAGCGGAGGGGCGGCGCACACCTACCTGCTTGTCCTCTGCGGGATCAGGGACGGGGTCGGGTCCGGGCCGGCGGGCGGGGGAGAGACGGAGAAACACGGTGAGAGGCAGGCGCGCGGCGGGGACAAAGGCGAGCGCGCGAGCGCGGGCGGGCGCCGGG